TTCGCGCTCCTGTGCATGTCTCGCTTCCTGGTATGAGAACTCGCACAGTCGTCACTTTATACAGTGTTGACTTGGCTCGGCCCATTGTGCTGATGGCATGTTCCGAACCGCGTAACTGGTTCACTGCCCTTGCCCGCCATAACGGGCCGCAGGTCGTCACCATAACTTTGGTCGATGACTTACTGAGCGAGTACGGGGGGAGAATCGCCAGACATGTGCTTACCAAACCTTCCGATTTGTTGTTCTTCGCCGGGCCTTGCACGGGGGGATCATCATGGGCACGCCTCAACAAGACTCGCGGAATTGACACCGCAGAGAAAATCGAGGCCAAACAAAGGGAATTTTGGAGATTGTTTGAACGGTTCGTTGAAATCAAACGGCATGCCATGACAAAACGAGCTGCGATTTTGTTTGAGTTGCCTGGAAGTTGCGATTATTGGAAGGACGAGAGACTGCATGAGGTTGTTCATGATGGCACTAGTCACGAGTTTGATGGGTGTCGCTATGGCTTGAAGCAAAGGTATGCTAAGAAACCCATGCCAATCAAGAAACCATGGAGAGTTGTTTCATGGAACTTTGATCTTGGTAGCTCGTTGTCTAAGAAATGCAATGGAAATCATGAGCATGGACCTTGTGCCGGTCGTGAAACCAAAGAAACCCAGTTGTACACGTCGTTAATTGTGGGTGTGATCCTCCGCCGTTTTCGTGCTCGAGCAAAGTGCCTCCAGCCGGCACCATTGAAACTCGCTCTTGCTTGTATTACGCGAGGGAGATGGCGGAAGCATCAAGCTACTGCGTGTGAAATTTGCACCACCCCGACTGTACCACCGAGGAGCTGGGTTAGTCCCGAACCTCTGGTGCCAACGGGGAGCTGGGCCAGTCCCGAACCCCAAGTTTCGAAGAGGAGTTGGACCAGTTCATCACCTCAATCAGAAACTGGGCTCGTATTGGGACAATTCCGTGGCTTTATTTGCAGCTGCTTATTTTGGGTTTTCCCGGTTCTGGAGAATATCATCAAGATGACTGCCAATGCGACCGTCGTCAATACGAATGAATTCTTCTGCGTGCCTGTTGGGAAATCCAGACAAGCGGCAATATTCTTGGGGAACCTCGTGAAGAACGCCATCGAGGAGGGCAAAAGAATTCCCAAGAGAATGGAGATGGGCAGCGACCTGGGCATGTGCATAAAGTGGATCGAGGACATTGGCGTCCCTGCTATCTATGCCTACTCAGCGTATTATTCTGCCAAGTGCCGCGGGATGAAGGGCAATCCATGAGGGTTGCATTAGAGTTTATCAGCAAAGTTTTCGGACAACTGTCTGCTGACGAATGTATGCTTGGTTGGAGGGAGTGGGGAAGAAGATCGTGGCGGCGCTGAACCAGCTTTGCGGTGAGGCATCGCTGCTAGCGAAGAACCCTGAATTGCTCAACGTCACCAAGTACTGCATAGAAGGGGCAGATATGCTGAGATCAATCACGGACATCTGGGATCTCGCATCAGGTGTGGCCGAAGACAACGAGGAACGGTCGTTCAAAGCTGCATTCCACCAGGACACCCAGGTCGGGGAGGTATACAAAGAGTTCATCAGCGATGAGCCAACTAGAGCCTCGTCGTCGAGAAGGTGGAGGAGCTCCGAGGAGTTCCAGACAATTGCAGAGTTTGAGAGGCACGATCGGAGAATATCGAAGTTCAGAGATCGAAACTGGGGGAAAGTATTCACGTTGAGCGTGATCAAGGCCCCCAAGCTCGACTTCTTCGGTCGTGGTGCAAAGGACGACTATCAGAAGAACTGGGACCTCGGGCTGATCTACCAGAATGAGCTGCATGCATCGATGAAGAACCTCGCATATGCGCTGAGAAGAGATGAAGAAGCCAACCAGCACAACCTTTTGCGCTGGATGATCTGTGGGTCAACCCCCAGTGACATCTCTGACGCGTGCATCGGGGCAATCAACTCGCTTATGTGCGTTTCCTTCATCATGAGGAGGTTGCAGCCATTGCTCGGTGAAAGGCATGCTAGGGATCAGTCGTACACAGCTTATTTCCGTCAAGACAAGAATGAGCTAAAGGAACTCTATCGAGAGGTCGAGTTCGCCAGGAACTTCCTGTGGTGCATCGACATGATCTACGAATCAAAGCTGCCTGCGATGAACATCAACTCCATCAGTTTGGCACCACACGCGGCTGACAGGGCCGCTGAGAACCAAGATCGGCGCAAGTGGGTAAGCTGGCTGAAGGAGATCGAAAAGAAAGCCGAGAAGGACGTCATGATCGACTTCTACCAGAACAACTACTGCACCATTCACGAAGCCGAGAGGGAACTGGAGATGTACCCCGAAGACTTTGTGATCGGAGAGGAGCCGACGTGGTGGGTGATGGGCTCATCGAAGACGGAACCGCCGCAGAAGACGGAGCGACAGCAGAAGTCAGCGTCAAGCTCCGGGCAAAGGAGCCAAACCTCTGGTGGGCCAGTCCCCCAGCATGGAGCTTCAAGTGGGGGGTCGTATGCTAGCGATGCCGTCAAGATCGACAACGAGATCATCGACTCCATTTTCCGCACGAACTCCGGTGGTGATGATGACAGATGGACAATCATCAACCCAACTGCTGGGCACGACACATACACCTCATTCGAAGGGGGTATTACTCTGAGCGGCGCGACTGTCAATGTGAAGTTCAACATAGACAACAATACAGGGTACCCAATCATACAAACTGTATTTGGGCCGTGTCTTGCAGAAGGGAAGAACGCGACATATTGGGAGTGTATGCTGAGATGCCTGACCTCTTCGCTATTGCATTTCGAGGGTGGTGAGGAGAGAACGTTGAATGCCGGACTCGAGGGGAAGCCGGGCTGCCCTTACCACAACGACTTCAAAAGATACCCCAACATGACTGAGCACGATCAGGAAGGGATCCTTTTGCCATCAACGGTACTGAAGATTTCTCAATCAGAGAATGTTCGGACAAGGGTCTTCCGATCGGTTGAGGAGCGTGAAGAATACATTCGTATGATGGTGTGCAAATGCGAGGGACTATATACATTCTACAAGCTGTGGATTGCAGCGAGAATCCTCGACGTCACCAAGGACGAAATGAAGCTCCTGGTCAAGGACCGCGTGCACCCGGTGGGTGATATTATTTTCAGATGCTTTTCACTGGCTTTCAACTGTAAGTATATATCATTCGTGAGGGATGGCCTGAACCTTGGCAAATATGGTTATTCGGTCAACGTGAGCGCCATTATTGCGGCCATCGACCCGAATAAATGCGACACACCTCTGCTGGATTGGTGCCTTCGTAAAGGGCATTGGATACCAGAGGATCATAACAAGAAGTGTGTCCGGGCGCGAGAAGCCCAGAAGAACTTGGACGAGGAGTTCCGTCGACGCACTCACAGACTGTCCATTGGAGACAGGTATGTGTAGTGAAGATGCTGATTACGGCACGATGTGGGTTAGTCCCCATCCGTTGCTTGCGTCTCATCAATATCATTACGATGGAACGACTTTACGTCATGATATGATTTCATGCGTCCAAGATGAATGGATGTGTATATGTTTACATATTCCGACGACTATGACATTCTGGATATTCATGGATGGAACTATTACCTCATGGATGATTTCCTTTTCATTATATATATTGTTCCTGGTATCTGGAATGGCTATGATTTGCATTGATCGCTCACCGATATTTCTTTGCCGGTGATATGCAGATTGCTTACGAGCAGGCGCCTCTGTTGGACTTTTATGCCCAACCCATTTTCTATGGATGACGGCTGCGCGATGCGCAAATGCGGCAGCTGGGATGTTCAATGGTGGTCAAATGACGTGACAATAGTGTATTGTATACACCTGCATATGGGAATGCGCTTCGATTGGTGGATGCACGTTTCACTTTTCATACAATCGAACCCGGCATGTTTCACAATGAATGAACGGTGTAGCAATAGCAAGTAAAAGAATGCACGACACGATTTCGTAGCTGAAGCCGTGGCCAGTGGAACGTTTTGTGGTGTTTGGACCGCATGATGAACAATGCGACCCAAATGGGGGATGTTAAAACCCTCTAGGCCCCGTGCCTAAATTGGGAAGCAGTTCTGAGGTCTGTGTTTGTGTTGCTTACCAAGTTCCATTGATCGCCATTTGGCTCAAGACACAAGTGAGGTTCAAGATCTGATGTGTAGCTGCGTTCACACGTGATTGGCATTGAGAGCGGAAAACACTTCGCTTGCGCTGCATTTGTCAGGACCACTGTTGTAACTATTATTCCTTCTCCCTTACAACGTTTACACGGGTTCGGCTATAACGGCTTCGACCGTATACACCTTTCTACGTGGTTGGTATTACAGCTGGAGGGTTCGGTGCACAGCGTCCCACGGGACGTCACCTTGCCGTCTCTTGACAGGAACCCTTCTAGGGGTACCTTCCCCATTCTTTCCAGGGATCCTTCTTTTCAGGAAACCATCAGACACGGCCGGTTGTTGAAAAGAACGATGGTTTAAAAGAATGGGGAATCAACCCCTAGAACCCTGCAAAAATCAGGGGACCCAAAGAGGGTAGCAATCCATGATGGAAACTTGGAATGCCTTTTGATTCATAGATGGTAGCTACTCTGCAAATGAACTTGGGAACTGCAAAGGGGGCCGTTTACCCAAAAGATGATTGCGTTAAAACTGATGGCTTGGTAGGTTCCATGATCCCGCTCATCCAATATCCTAAACGTGATGGCTATTAGGTTTGCAGGGGAGTATCATTGCGGCCTTGCATGAAACACACATGCAGACGCTTCAGAGAGACTGTGTTGAACACACCTTGGGTTTCTCTCAACATGAAGGGAGCCAATGGTTGGTTTGCCAACAGAGAACACGTGCTTTGTGATGTCCCTTTGGTGCTGACAAGTACTGACCAGAGCAACACATCACCAATCGAAGGGCTGGGAATCTAGCAAAGCCCTCGCCGCCAGATTGATGTAGGAAATGAGTCTCGCTTGGCAGGAAAGCATGGCGGAGCTTGTCGAGCAGCTCGTAAGACCAGAAGAGACACTCGGATGCAAGTAGACCTTTGGGAGCCGGTCACGCCAGCTGTTCAATGCCTGTTGGGAAGGATTTCCGACCATGAATGCTTCGGGGAGGGGCAAGGGAGCCCCCGTGGAGGTGAGAAGTAGTCATGGAGATGGGAGACAAACTACTTTGAACGGAGAGGTGGCTCAATGCTGTACAACTTTCGGGAGGGTCTAGCAAGCTAGATTCTGGATATCTATCCATGTGCCCTTTGCGGGCAAGGCTAGATAGATGTTTCCCTTCTGGTTAGTTGGTTATACACATATATTTATATGTGTACCGCGGTTTACTGGGCTTATACCCCGTAGCCAAACAGAGGCCATGGCGCTCAAAGGGGCCGGGGTCAAACCGCCTGTGGCTTCCAGAGGCCCTGGCAGAGCTGGCCCTTCCAGCGTCTCAGCGCGAAGCTGTCGGCCTGGTTCACGGGATCCTGGCCGGGCGCCACAGTCGCCAGACCTCGGCCTTGACGGACCCACGCCATGGGGAAGGTCCTGTACTTGGTTCCCAGCCATCCGGTTCCTGAGCTTTTTAGCCTTTTAGTGGTTTCTATTTAACCCACCAAATGTTAAACTTTTAGCGGGGGATCTGAGGACATCCCAGTTTACTCGCGATTTCCGGTTTTGGAGCCGTTGTGAAATTTGCAGAGTCTGATGGACACCAAGATTAAGCAGATCTGGTTGGTTTGAAGTGCGCAACCGAGTCCTACGCTTTTGGAAGACACAGCCCAGCATTGCGGAGGTCGTATAAGTTGTCATTCCCGCCTATTTGCAACCAAGCTGCAAAAGGCCATAGCTATTTTTGGGCATTCAAGCCGGCACATTTCCAAGAAAACAACGACAACAAACACAATCGACAAATATCCATGTTTGCAGGAGTTCAGGTAGTTGCTTTGGAAATAGAAAACTAGTCTGCATCATTTAGAGCCTGACAACCACATGACATTACACACCAAATAGGTAGCACCTGTTTAACTTCCAACAAATTTGCCGTTAGTTTGAAGCGCAAACATGATGAGCACTGACTTGTGCAAGTTGGGATGCCAATGTCTCAAAATTAGAATGAGTGTAAAAAGACTATACCAAAGCAAGCCGCGGCCCCTTCAAAATGCTGACTTGCCATGATCTATGCCATGTTGGCCCTGCAGATCGGCTCGGTTTTCAGAAGGAAGTAGTGCCAGCTGGAGCCATGGTGGAGGGAGTTTGTCTCGGCAAATGCCTCCCTTCGGGGGACAAAGTCCATCTCAAACGCGGCAACAAGGAGGTGGGATTCGGGGATTTGCTGCACTGAGTGGTTTGAACCATTCTGAAACCATTCTGAGGGCCTGTCATTGCGAGCATTTAATAGCTGGAAAACTATTGAAATCGCTACGCGATCCGCGATCCGCCGACGCCCTCCGTGGTGTGACGACTGATGCTTTCAACCCTGATTGGCTCTTGGGTCTGAGGAATCAGGGCATCTTCGGCTCAGCGTTGTTAGGTGGTCATTTTTCTCGACTTGTCTCTGTTCATATCGAATCAAATCCTCGGCTTCGCCGGAATCTGGCTGCTGGCTTGTGGAATGCAGGGCCTTCAGATCCAGCTTCGGCAAAGACCGTCCACAAATGTCATTAACTTCGGACGCAAAGCATTGGCAAAGTACCAGGGATGGCTGGGATGGCAAGGGCGCGGGGAATGCTGAGAATGCAGGCAATGCCGGGGATGCAGCGTGCAAAAATCCAGTGTTTATTGATGTCTTCCAAAATCAATCAAAAAAGGATGGCAGCAACCTCCTGTTTTTGGACGCAACGGCAGAGAGAGAGAGAGAGAGATCCCCCGTCAAATACCTGAAATATAGACTTCTAAAAAGCACAACAATGCTGGGGATGTTTCGCAGCGACAGTTCTGTACAGGTGGGGAGTTCGCAAAAACACGCTTTTTGTCCAATTTGAGCAGTTCCTTAGATCGTCACTACACTTGCCCCTGCCAAGACCCCAAACAAGCCAAATCCAACATCGCCACACCATCATGCCGCCAAGACACCCCGGATCATGCTGGGAATACAGATTCTTACCACCGTGAGGAACCCTCCCCCGCACGCTTTTTAAGAATTCCAAGACCCAAAACACCAGAAAATCAGAGGGTGTCGGACACCCAGCATTTTTTCCCCAAAAATGGTCTCCCGAAAAACCTTCGGCTTGAACAGGAAATTTGTAAAGGAAGAGCAAGTTGCGGATTGCCATCTACACACTCGACTGGCGTCGGCGGATTTGTGAATCCTGGCACATTGGGCATATCAGCCAGGAAGCTTGTACCTCGATTTGGTTTGGGGAAGAGAGAGTGGGCAAGGAAAGAGAGAGGGAGACAGAGTGAGAAACAGAGAGAGAGAGAGAGAGAGAGAGAGAGAGGGAGAGAGCGAGAGAGCGAGAGAGAAGGAGAGGCAGCGAGCAAGCAAGAACTGGTCATTGAGTGCGCTTGCCATGTCATTTTTGAAAGGCTCCCTATCTTCCCCCTTTGCGGGTGTTAATCTGCTGACCTAGTAGCGCCACAGAAAGCCTAAGACGGTCTCAGAAGAGCTACCAGGAGCTACTAAGGCTTAATATTGAACAAAAGCAAATAGTATAATAGTAGCTGATAAGGCCTGATAATACGGGCTGAAAGGTGCTAGGAGCCAGTCCGACCTAGGCCCTGTGCCTACGGTTTCAAGCGGAGCCTGCTTGGAGCGAAAAGGGGGCAAGATAGGCTTTTTCCTCATGCTGATTCAAACCTCAAAAAGCGCACGGCAGGAGGCTGAGGAGGTGGACCTCCTGCGAGAGCAGGTCCGGGACCTGTCGGAGATGAATCTCGCCTTGCGCCGCGAGCTCGCCGCCTGCCGCGGCCGCCTGGGCTCCGTGGGGTCTGCCACTCAGAGCTTTGCATGGCTCTGGAAAGGGTGGAGGCCATTTGAAGGAAGTCAACTGCCCCTTCTTTCTGGGTCAAATTGCCCCTGAGTTGCAGTTGTGATTGGTTTGGGGAGTTGCAATCAGCCCCAATTCCTTTCGAAGCCAGAGTGGCGGTACTATACCAGACCACGCTGTAGGTATACGATTGTGTAGGCTGAGGGTTAGTGGAGCTGCGTACCTTCAGAGCGCGACTGGACGATGTTGTTGCTTCACTGGCTAAGTTCTGCCGAAACCTGCGATACGGGAATCACGGAAGAGTTGGATGAGGACCGGGGGTGTAGGAAATGACGTTCACGCTTCCGATGCCAGGTCCCCCTTTCAGTGAAAAACATGTCATTGGGAAGGTCTGCCGGAAGCGCGCACTTCCTACAACTTGATGGGCTTGTACATCAGTTGGAGAGTCTTTGGTGCTACATGGTGCTGGTTGAGCCTTTGTTCAAGCACGAAGCGCCTCCTGCAGCAAATCATGTTCACATCATGCACCTGTGACGGTCTAGCTTATGTCTACTTTGTTGGAAGAGCGCATGTCTGTGTGTGTTTGTATCCGTGTTTGTGTCTCCACATGCATGTGTGTGGTGCGGGTGTGGGTGTGGGTGTGGGTGTGGGTGTGGGTGTTGGGTGTTGGGTGTTGGGTGTTGGGTGTTGGGTGTTGGGTGTTGGGTGTTGGGTGTTGGGTGTTGGGTGTTGGGTGTTGGGTGTTGGGTGTGTGTGTGTTTTTTTTTTGTTTCTTTCTTTCTTTGTTTGTTTGTTTGTTTGTTTGTGTGTGGGTGGGTGTGCGTGCGTGCGGGTGTGGGTGTGGGTGTGGGTGTGGGTCTGGGTCTGGGTGTGGGTGTGGGTGTGGGTGTGGGTGCGGGTGCTCGCGCGCGTGCGTGCGTGCGTGCGTGCGTGCGCGTGCGTGTGTGTGTGTGATGTTTGTGTGTGTGTGGTGTGTGTGTGTGTAAACGGTGTTGTCAAGTACCGCGCCGCGCGATGGATTCACTAATCATATCTAATCATATCAAGTGAGTCAGCAAAACGGGACCACAAATCCTGGGTAAGTTTCAGTAAATCGCAAGGTTTCCCTTGTTCCGCCTTGGCATGTTCAACATCAATCCCGTGTATACGTGACGTCCGCCACTAAATAGAGTTCCCGGCAGGTTCTTTCTGACTCCAGTTGTGCAAGATGCACAGGACGTGGTGGACCCCAACCAAGTACACCTTCGTGGGCGCCTCTCCAGGCGTGCCACCATTCGCGAGGAGGAGAGTCGGACCCGGGGGATTGGAAGATTTGTGATGTACCACCAAGCTGGGGTTGGTTCGAAACCGGGCAGGTGACATCGCTCTTGTTTGGCCGTATGCTAACTTTGTACAAATTACTGTAAATGGCTTATCGTGTTTGGAGGCATGGAGGGCGCACACTCAGGACTACATGGGGCCTTGAGTGATGGGAGACATTGAGCCTTGACAACTGTCAAGCTTGTTGCTGGGGTTCACTCATGCTGGCCTAGTACTTAGACTTGTTCGGCCACGGGCCACTTGCTCGTTCCTCCACCAACCGAGAACAATTTGTACCACCCCAGACTGAAGAACTGTTTGGTTTCAAAGCAGTTTTTCTTGCTGCCTCGCAGAATGCAGCCAGTCAGTGCTGGCTTTAGCCAGCATGGCTGGCCCTTGGGCAACGTGGCCTCAATCAGCCCAATCACGTCGGCATAGCGAGGCACGCACGCCACGAGAGCATTCCATCCTTTCCAGTGTGCCCCCAATTTTGCGTGCGGACCGACTTTGTGCTCCAACTGGGTGCCCGCGAGAGCGTGCTTGCAGATGTAGACACCCGTGTTGAGTGTATATAGAGGACTGCATTCTGAAATGCCGCCGGAGAGTTGGCATGCATCGCGAAAGCCTGCCAGGAGGATGACCTGAACCTGTTGAACGAGGAGCCAGTGTCGCCGCCAGTGAAGACAGACAGCAGAAATGAGTTGGAGCGAACAGCAGCTTGGCACGAGATAAAGGCAACCCAAGCAGTGGCAAGATGTAGCAATAGCCCCTTAGCCTATCATAGGCGCAAGAAACCATGAAAGCCTGTTGCAGTCACTCAAACAGTGATCAACCATATGACGTGAGTAACAGGAATACAAATGAACATATCAAACAGATGGAGGTCGCAACAAGGCCTCCTTGCGATTGAGTCCGCCCACATGCTGTAATAGCACCAATGGGCGTGACAACGAAGAACTATGGCAAGGAAAGCAACTCAAGTGCTGGGATTCCGTGTTGGTGATGCTTTGAGCGGCTAGCTCGTCTCTTTGCCGATCACCCTGTTGTGCTCCTATAGCACTTCCTTTGCACAATTAACTGCTAGCCACTGATTATAGCTTTAATTTTAGGAAACCTCGAAATGTTCATCCTGACTTGTCTCCTTTCCCATCCACGTCTAGACTAGCGGATGGGATGAGAGAGCGATGACCCCCCTCATTGGCTTCCAAAAATGCGTGTGAGTTCTTTGCTCCGAATATTGATTTTCGTTGGGGAAAATGGCGCCATTTGGAATCCACAGCCCGCCAGGTGGGGGAAAATTGAGGAACATGGGCCATTTGGGACTTCGCACTTAGTGAGGTGAACAGTGAACATCCCAATCCCCACTAAAATAGACTCAAATGGGTGGTGCACCTACCCCAAAATGGTACCATTGGTTTTGACCCACAGCCACTTAGTGAGGTGAAGCTCTCAGACATCATCAAGTCGGGGATGAACAGCACGGCTGCGAAGGCCAGCGCTCTGGGCAAGGGCCGCGCACCTCGGACCGAGTCGGACGGAGCGGGGGGATGTGAGATATCCCAAGGGGCTTAAAGGATATACCTGGTGCTTAGCCTCCGGCCCTTGATTTTTTTCCGAGAAACCAACAGGGGATGGGTATTTTGTGAGTTTTGCAGACTCCCTATTTTTCATCCATGCAAAAACGTCCATTATGCTCTTCTTTCAATTATGTAGGCAAATGGAGCATTCGTCTCATTGACCGAGGACACTGGCAGGTCACGCCATTACATGGCATCCATGAGTTGACTACAGAACCACGTTGAGTCAGAATCATTGTTCCCTTCGCAAGTAGGAAATGCATTGCAAGAGAAACACCCTTTTCATCAACAAGCCCAATAAACGCTGGGTAATGAATAAATCACGGGGGTCAATAAGGAAAACCTAAAACCAAATTGGGGGCCTACTCAAGTAGTCTCTCCGCAAGTAGTCTTCAATCCTCTTCTTTCCTCCTCTTCGGTCCTCTTTGGTCTTCTTCGGTCCACGCTGCTTAGTAGTGGCTTAGAATTGCTTCAGTATTCTTTTGAGCCGGCCCAGTACTCCATAGAATTGTACTGGTTCGTAGTCTTACGAATTTGTTTCGTATTTCTTGAGTATCCGTCGCTGGCCGATTGATTTTCTTTTCCCTAAGTCCGCTCCTTAAACATTTATCATTGTTAACTTGTTGGGCTTCCGTCTGCCACCCGCTTGAAAATATGTTTGTGTGATTCTGTGTGGCTGTTTTAGCACACGGTCGCAGAAGGAATGTAGCCGTTTGGGGCCTCAGTTGGTTTTGCTGGCTCAGCATTGTCATGGTATTGGTTCTGTATTAGTTAGTATTGGTTTAGTATTGACAGGTAATTTTCAGTTTAGTACTTGATTAGTATTGTCAGATCTTGGGATCGTGCTTTTCAACCACCCCCGGACGGGGAGCTATATTTTTCCCACGTTGTTTTTGATTTTCCTCGCCTTTTGCTTTTCCGGATGGGGAATATTGTTGTGATGTGTTTTTCTTTGAGTATTCACTACCGACATAACAAGCTTTCCGGCAGAAGCCAAGAGGCTGTCCGGTACGCATCACCCTAAATGCTGAATACCCTAGAAGCCTTCGAACTCCTGGCAAAACATCAACATCAAACCACCCAAATCCTGCACACCTGGAAAACCGCACGCCCTAAACCCTAGAACCCTAAACCTCAACACCCAACAACCCTAGGCCTTACATCCCTCAGCTCGAAAACCCACCCAAAAAACTCGAAGCCAAAACCCTACCCCAAACTAAACCCTAAAAACCCATCCCGGAGGAGACCTTGTGGGCAGCACCTATGTTTTCTTCATGGCTTGCCATGGACCACGGTTGATTTGGAACCGGTTGAGGTTGCTTCGTGCTGTGCGTGAAAGCTCGGGATAGCTTGTGGCAATGCATTGCTTCAGAGAGGCGTTCGATCTTGGAGGGTCACATCTTGCACCTGTACATTACCCACCAACCACAGGATATCTACATATATATATATATATATATGTGTACTGCAGCAGCCTTGTGCGGCTTTTCGTGCGCCGTCAGCTGAGGCTATGCGATTCTTCATATTCTCTTTTGCCCTTCTCTTCGTGATATTCGTGCTGGTCGCCTCCTCTACAAGTCTGGGGCCGGTGTCAGAGTTCTTCTACGGCGACTCGCTGGAAGCCACCATTGCGTTTCGCAATGGCCTCGACCCGCACGGGGACGACCACGGCGCGGACCATGGCACCGAAGGCGACCACTCCACAGGCGACCACTCTACGGGCGACCACTCCACGGAGCATGCCACACAGGGCACCGACCAGTTTTCGACCGCTTCTTGCCCTTAACAAAGCTACATTATAAGTAGCAATGCAACGGTTTTGCTTGTGAGTTGTCATAATGCAGGCTACCTCTCCTTGCGTTTTATCACAGCAAAAACAAATCACTCACCGCAATGGCCGGGCGTTGCTTGTTACCCTTCCCCCTCGTCCACATGCTCGCCGGGTCCCGGACCCAGAGACTAAGCATGGCCAAGGATTGGGGATCAGCGGAGGTCACCATGCCCACAGCGGCGCCGAGTGACCATGCCACAGAGGCACCGAGCGGCCACAGCGCTGAGTCACACGGCGAGTCGCACGGCGGCGCCCATCGCCGACGACGCATGGCTAAGAAGTGGGTTCTGGAAGTTCGGCGTGGGAAAATCCAGGCTTTCGAAAGGCAAGCAATCCTGAGATCAGATCAGAGATTGACGACTCCCACATTTCATGGTGTACAGAATATATAGGCAACCAGTCAACCAGTGTAAGGGTTCCTCTTCAGGCCATGACCCACCATCCGGAGTTCAGAAGGCACAAATGTGGCAGCTCAGGATTGAGTTCTGGGCCTTCGCTGCTGCTCACAAACATCGCCTTTTGCCTCACGAGCTGTGGGTTGGTGGCCTTCTTTGTGGGCCTTTGCAAGCAGCCCTTGATCTTGGGATACCTGCTCGGTGGGGCTGCTCGTCACAACACCAGACACATACACATCATTACTTTCAATGCGCGATGCAAACGCAGTCAGTGTGGGAGGTGCTTTGGGGTTTCAACTGCCATTATAAGATTGCGCAGTAGGAAGGCAACCCTGAACCAAGAACAGGCAGCAATCCTTCGCTGCGAAGTGCAGCACAGTTGGCTTGAACGAAAGGTTATGAACAGCCAACAGCACACAGGCAGAAGACTGCATGGGGAAAGATGGCGATCGCTCCCTTTGCCTCGGGCGCAACTTTTAGTTGCCTCGGCAACTGGCAAACTTAGGTTGTGGTTGGCCCGGAAATGGGCTTGAGCTTGGTGGAGAGCCATGAGCAGGTTGCAGAGATCGCCAACTTGGGATTGGTGTTCCTGCCGCTCGGCTGTTGGTGGAGGCAAAACACACGAATTGGATGAAACCCCCGCATCCTTTTGAAGGCTCGGGCTTTTTTGCTCCTATGATTTGGACCACAGGTTTCCTGCTTATGATGTGTATTTATCTTAGATCGCGAGCACCTCTGCTTGGCGCATGCCCAAGGCTGTTCATGATTGGACTGGAGTTGGACGTCAAGGAGATCCTTCGCATGGGGCGCGTAGTGCTCCTGACTGGCCTTTTCCAGCTCCTTGATCTGTCAGCATAACAAATCATCTGCATTGCTCATGGAAATCAGATTTGCAAAACGCTGCCAATATTAAACAATCAAACACAACGTGTTGCACAGAGAAGCAGAAGGGCCGGCAATTGCCCTGCGAGCAAGCGACAACCGCCGCGGCGGCAAAGCCAGCGGTGACCAGGCAGCAGCAGCAGCAGCAGCAGCAGCAGCAGCAACAACAACAACCTCAACAACAGCAGAACAGTAACCCCGCAACATGCAGCAACATGCAGCGATACACAGAAAGACACGGCAACACACAGCAACAGCAGCGACAGCACCAACACCGTCACCATCACAACCCTTGGCAGCAGCGACATCGTCACCACCACCACCACCACCACCACCACCACCACCAGCACCACCAGCACCACCACCACCACCACCAGCACCACCAGCAGCACCAGCACCACCACCACCACCACCACCAGCAGCAGCAGCACCAGCAGCACCAGCAGCACCAGAAGCACCAGAAGCACCAGAAGCTCCAGCAGCACCAGCACCAGGACCACCACCACAATCACGACCACCAGCACCACCAGCACCAGCACCAGCACATACCAGCACCAATAATACCACTGCCGACGACACCATTGCCAACGACACCGCCACCACCTGCAACAACTAGCTGCAGCTGCAACGGCAAGCACGGCGACCACAACTACGACCACGACAGCCACAACTACGCTTTCATCAAGCGCGACACCCATCCTATCTACCCACTTGCCAAAGAACGGATCAACTAATTAAGAACAGCCTCCAGCAACCAGGGACTCCAAGAACAACCAAGCATCACAAACAAAGTTATCATTGGCGGTTGGCTGCAACAACCTTAAACAACCTCACCAAGCAAGCACATAGTGACAAGAAGGAGGCGCAAAAACAACTGCCATGCAGGTGCACGCGGCAGATACACGAGCTTTCTGCCAAGCTCAGGGCAACCAGTGTTTGTTATTCTGCCTTGGGTACAACTCGGGGTAAAGCTCTACCAGGGCGTAGAGTTCAACGACTGTTCAGCGATGATGTGTGACAAGTTTTTGCTTCTTTGCGCGATCCTTGGGCCATGCCCTGCCTTGAGGTTTCCAGTTTGCTTGAGTGTGCAGTACCTCCTCTTCACCGCTTTGCAGTCGGCAGGGCTCAGCCTTGGCAGCGGTTATGCAGCTTCTTTGGCTCAATTGGGATGAGCCATGAGTTGAGCCACAAACTGAACGGATAGTTGAAGGTCAGCACGGGACAGTCTCAAACATTCCGGTCCGTTGACTGTAGAGAGTTGCAAGACCTTACAACCAGAATCTCCTCTCCGGAATGACGACCCTCATGGCTTTTAGAGGAAAAAAGAGGGGTGAACCTGGATATCATGATGCCGCGCCTGTACATTCGGCCTTTCCCTTCCAATGGACAAAAGGCACTTCTGCTTCGAATAAGCGGGCCCTTAGTTTTAATATCACTTTTCCCCGAGAGACCATCGTGGCACTAATGAAGCTGTGTTGCATGTTTGTGCTGCCACATGATCCGCACAGAGAGGTTGATGGAAAGCGCGCTGTGGGGAACTTCAGGAAGTCAGATACGCATTGCACGCTTTATTTCACAAAAAATGCTGATGGTTCAGGACTTGGCCCGGTACTGAGGCCATGTATTGCGCGCTGGTGTGCGCCATCTCCTCCACCATGATTGTCGTGAAGCTGCTGTCCGAGAAGGGCGAAACAGATCGTCCCAACGGACGCTTCTTGGATGCAAGGATGTAAATACAGCTTGAGCACGGCCAACTTGTTCCACTTACTTGGGGTGCACACTTGTCACATGCCTGCCAGAAATGCCAAGCTTGTTGCTGCTTAAGATTCTAGGCTGCTTCTCAAACACTGATTCAGGAAGCATGGGAAGGCCATGGCCCCATTTCAGCTATGGCCACCCTTGCTGCGGCTGGCTGTAGTTGTGCGGGTACGCTGCTTGCACACATGCATCTGCCATATCCAGCGGAGGCCTGACGATTGGCATCCTGATCTTCCAAGACATTTGGGCCATGGTATTCCTGGCCATCCAGCACCTCGGCCAAGCCGTCGCCAGCGTGTTCTGTCATGCGAGGCCGCGACAGTACAATACAATTATTGCACCTGCTGGTCAGATGCCGATGTTCGCATCTATATATGCCGCAGAGAGGCTCCAAATAAATGCTTGGTTGGCGGGTTCCCAAAAATACTACCCTTTTTCAAAACCCTGGTGACATGCGGTCTGAAAAGGGGGCCACCATTTTGTCACACGAATGTTGTCCAGTAGGTGTGAAAGGAGGGGGCACAGGATGGTGGTGCAGCAAGCAGTTGCAAGTGCTAACCCTTCTTGCGAATGATGCCTTGGATTTCGTAGATGGTGGAAAAGATTAGATCTTCTCACACGAGAAGCAAATGATGCCAGTCAGCAGACGCTCAGTTTGTTTGTTGGCAACGTTTTTGCCACACATGGCCAAGAAGACTGTTCAAGCAAGTGCGTCCAACTTACGAATGGACTTCAGTAAGCGAATCTTGTTTGGGTATCCGGATTTTCGCCCAGCCTGCAAGCACAATTTCCAGGGTTTCCTTGGGTGTTCTTGGGTGGCGACCTTCAACCCGGATGCCGGGCGTGCCCGAGGCCGAACCTTGCGAGCCCGGACTTCTTGAGCTTGTGCAAGCAGTTCGGCATGATCTTCGCGCTGATCATCATGGCATTGTGCCCTTTGGATTTGCGAGCATCGAACGGCCGGTTTAAAGCCAGAAGCTCTCGGACGTCTTAGCGCTTGTGTTTTTGTCTGACTTGTCCAGCTGGCGGATGCCTTCTCTCATGTTTGTTGATTTGCCCAGTCAAGCGCAGCAGGATGGTTTGTGACTACGTGGCGTCAAGTCGGTCACTCAGGTTATGCGAAGTTTGTGATGCCCGCCGTGCTGTTCTTTGCTTCCAAGAGTGTGGAGCTGATGCTGCTTGGCCGAAATGGACGCTCATTGGACGCTTGCAGGTCAGCCTGAGGAAAAACTGTATTCTTGACATTGTCTTGGTACTGCCTTTGCAGGTGAACCTACAACCGCTTACAGTTTGCCGCGTTGTTTCCACGAGTGATCCTGTCAAAGCTTCCAGTAGGGCATCAATAATTTGGCATAGACATCAGGGGACGGGGCTAAATTTCCCCCAACAACGAGCCAATTCTCCCACAGGAAGCTGCGCAGTCTGACCATGGTTCCACCATTTCTTGCCGGGGTGCCGTCGTGCACCAGGCATCTAGCTCCTCAAATGTGAAGCTTGCAATGGCCTCTAGTTGTCAGGGTCACCCCCAACATTGAAGGATCGGCCTTCATTGCCAGAGACTATTCTGACCAGGCAATTGTCCAGGAATTTTGCCCATGCCCAGGTTGGTGCTCTCCTTGTCGTGGTGCTTCTTCATGGGAGCCGCGAAGCAGCGTCAGAGAGCCGCGATGTTGAGAATCCTGCGTCAAGAGCCTCAAGGGATCTCTCAAGGCTTTTCTGAGACCTTCCGGAGACACTGCTCCGGACGGCTCACCCACAAATCGTGAGGGCGACTATTTTCAGGTATGCAGTTACGTAGAGTCCAGCTAAAAGAATGCAGGGTCAAAGCGGAGGCCCCTTACATTCAATGTGCTGGAAACATCAAGGTTTCCTTTTGTCACATCATTTCGCACCAGGTCACCGCACAGCTTCCTTGGGTGGGCGTCGGCATGGAGCTGGCAGCGTTGATCGCCGGAGTGGCATTGGCAACCTTCCCGTACAGCGCAGAGTTCAATGGACACTTGGCCTTTTGGGAGCATGGTATTACTGAGTTGTTTTGATTGTTTCTCGGGGTTGCCAAAGTCAGAACATGGGGGGTATTCCCTGCCACTTGGGTTGACAATGACAATGGTGCTTGCTTGTAACTGGACAAGGTTGTTCACCCATTGAGTCTCTCGCTCAGCAGGGACGGTTGGCCACAGATGAGTGTCATGTCCAGAAAAGAGCAGTCGCGTGTGGGGTTGCAGCGGAAGAGAAGCGTATCTGAATATGTTACATTGGAAAGGTGGGAACATAGGAACAGGTTGCCATGGATGGGGGAAGCGCACAGGAAATAGTTGTTGTGACTGTTATGTTTAAACAACAGCTGATCCTTCAGTGCCATGTCGCATGTCTAGAGGGCTTAGGCTTGATGCCCCTTAGCATTTTGTTTGCCCCAATTCATTGCGGAGGCACCAAGCCTGAGAAGCACCAGGCATAGATCCCAGACAGGGCCAGAAACAATAAGATTACTTAATCTTATATAACTTATATTGTAAGTGGCTCTTGCGATTGAAGTCCCGATTTTTTTTTGGCAGTAGGCAGTCGATTTGTCCCTTCAGTGAAGGCACCCACAAGGCCTGGCAACAGGACCGCCTTCATCCATGTTTAGCAGCCGCCAAAACTCTTTAAAAGTTCCAACAATTGTCCTGCCTGAGTTTATCAACCTGTAAAGGTCAGCCCCCCACTAATACGCAAAACCCCTGGACAAACCATGGCCCTCTCCACTGGAAATTCTAGAGGCGCACTTGGCACTGTTGACGTCAAGTTGTCAAGGTACCGGGGGAGGCCTGTTAATGAGTGATTCTTCACCAGCTTAGGTCAGTCCACTCAGGAAGTGAGGGTTTGTTTATTTGAAATGCTTTCAGGAAGAAACGTGAACCTGATCAACGAGCATATGCAGAGATTTGGCGTGCCACATGCCAAACACCCATGTCGCCAGGAAAGATCAAATACATCCGCGACTTCTTCATTACGTTGTTCTTTGCTGCCTTGGGTATGTCGGCCGCAGTAGTGGAGTGCTCGGAGGTTTAAAGGCATGGAGTGGAAAGTGGCGCTGAAAGGCAACGCACTGACAGGGCATGCTGCGGTAGGTGAAATGCTCAGTGCCCGTTTTCCATTGTCCATGGAACCACTGTTTGAATTCCAAAGGCATGGTTGACCTTCATGCAAAGCACTCGATGGGCAACGAAACACGGCATGTTCCGACTGGGTACTTGTTGGTAACGGTACGCTTGCGCAGTCGTGTCGCTTGCCAACCTTAGGTATGCAGATTCCTGTTCCGTCACTGCAGCCCATCCTGACTGCCCTGCTGATAGCTACATTGGCAGCTCGGGCGTCAGCCGGGAGCAGCGTTCGTTGCATTTGCAGCAAGGTTCATGTCAGACTGAAATTCGGCTTGGGACCCTCTGGTAGACTTTAGGTGTTTGCTCAACTACATTTATAGCCATGCCATCTCATGTCGCATTTGGCAGCACAGGTGAGGGTGAAGCTATCCATGCAGAAGAGGGTCCAATGGCAGTAGCACCCCAATCTGAAAAGTTTCCGAATGCCGGAGCCTCCAGGCAGGGTATAAGTACATAGTGGCAGTTGCGTGGCAAGCCGAGTTGTCCCCATGTGGAGCAATATGCGCGCTTGATGTTGGGCACTTGGGCAAATTACAATAAGTTACAGCTTGCTGGTGCTCAGTACGAGCCTGGGGATTCCCTGAAAGGAAACCACAAAGAGCACCATCAAGACAAACTGGATTTAAGAAATCCCGGGCCCTGCTTACATGTGAGCTCAAAGCGACCCGGTCGTTTGCCAGTCTCAGGTGTTGCTCTTCCGATGGCTGGGCATTTTTACGTTGGTCTACATGTTGGGGGGAACTCCTCGCCTTGGCATCCTCGCCACCCTGAACCTCTCACAGATCTCGGAGTTCGCCTTGGTGCTGCTTTGCCTAAGAAGAGAGGGAGAGAGAGGCAAAACATCGGACTCCGCAGACACACACGTTGACCTCGAAAAGGGGGTCCGCCAAAAAAGGAGCTTCTTTCCGCCACAACTGGTGGTCTTGCTTGAAACGTATTGCCTTGAAGAGGCTTGGGAAAGCACAAGGTTTGGTTCCAAATGAGGCACGGTGCAAACACGATCAACACGATCGGAGGCCCTTTAAGATTGAGATCAAGCCATGATTTGGCCATTCCTGGTTTGGCACCGCATGAACCAGGCACACTGGTAGGAGCACAGCGTGGGATCCCTAGATTAGCAAACAGCTCATTCATTGATTGATAATAGGAAGATTCCGGGGACCTTCATTTTTGGCTAACAAACACTGTGTAGGCAGTGCTTGGGAGTTGCCATGCCTGGGAATGAAGGCGTTTGGCCTGAACAGTTTTCTTTTGAGGATAAATATGAAGCAGAACCTGAACTATGTGTTTGGGTGTACCCCAGAGATGCCAGAAGAGCTTAGAAGGAAGTTATGGAGCTGGACATGACATTGCCGGGACCCGCTGATGAGTTGCCAAACTCGGTCAATTCAGCCTGGCAGAGCCGAGTGGCATGCAATGTTTGGCGCCCATCCTGAGGCACAGTCCATTCTCCCTAGTTGGGGCTCCATCATTGTAAAGGCCAGTATTGGTTTCAATTTTGCCGCCCGGCTTTCAGGATTTGCTCTTTGGGCATGGGCTACGGACATATCGACGCCTCTACCTTGGAGATCATTATTTGGGTCTTCATGACCCTGCACCCTGCTGCATTGACCTGTACTTTGTGTGTGTATATGTGTGTTTTGTGTTTCCGTGTGTGTGTGTGTGGGCGTGTATTTATTTGTGTTGCGTGTGTGTGTGTGTGTTGTTTGTTTGTGTGTTTGTTTGTTTGTTTGTTTGTTTGTTTGTTTGTTTGTTTGTTTATTTGGTTTGTTTGTTTGTTTGTTTGTTTGTTTGCTTGTTTGTGTGTTTGTGTGTTAGTGTGTGAGTCTATTTGTGTTTGTGTTTGCTTGTTTGCTTGCTTGTTTGTTGGTTGGTTGGTTGGTTTGTTTGCTTGTGTTGTTGTTTGTGTGATTGTTAATTTGGTTGTTGTGTCAGTTTGTTGGTTTTGTGTGTTGCCTAGTTTGCTTGTTTGTTTCTGTGTTAGGTATTGTTTGGTATTGCTTGGTAGTTTTTGGTATGGTTTGGTATTGATGGTAATTTGTTGGGCTTGTTTGTTTATTTCTTGTTTTTTTTTGGTTTGATGGTGTGTTGGTTTGTTTGTTGTTTGTTTGTTTGTTTGTTTGTTTGTTTGTTTGTTCGTTCGTTCGTTTGTTCGTTCGTTTGTTTGTATGTGTTTTTTGCTTGTGTTTGTTTGCTTGCCTGCTTGCCTGCTTGCCTGCCTGCCTGCCTGCTTGCTTGCTTTCTTGCTTGCTTGCTTGCTTGCGTGCCTGCCTTTCTGCTTGCTTGTTCAGTTTAGTTTAGTTTAGTTTAGTTGTTCTCTGTTTGTCTGATTGTTTTGTCTGTTTGTGTTTGGTTTGGCTTGTTTGCGTGTTTGCTTGTTTGCTTGTTTGCTTGTTTGCTTGTTTGCTTGTTTGTTTGCGTGCTTGCTTGTTGTGCTTGTTTGTTCGTTTTGTGTGTCTTGTCGTTGTTTATGTCGTCGTCGCTGCTGTCGTTATGATCGTTGCTGCTGCTGCAGGCTGCTGCTGCTGCTGCTGCTGCTGCTGCTGCTGGTGGTGGTGGTGGTGGTGGTGGTGGTGGTGGCGTTGTTCTTGTTATTGTTACTGTTTTTGTGTTTGTTGTTTTTGTTGTTGCAGTTTTTGTTTTTGTGCTTGTTGTTTTTGTTTTTGTAGCTGTTGTTGTTCTTATTTTTGTTCTTGTTTCTGTTCCTGTTCCTGTTCCTGCCCTTGTTATTGTTCTTGTTGTTCTGGTTGTTCTTGTTGTTCTTGTTGTTCTTGTTTTTCTTGGTGTTCTTGTTGTTCTTGTTGTTCTTGGTGAGGCGCTGCTTTCGCGGCCCTGCGAGTTGGCACTTGTTAGTCGCGCGAATGCGGGTTGAGCTAGGGTACTTAGGCCTGTGTTTCAGGCAGATTCCAGCAATCGGATAATTTTCTCTGCATTTTTTGCGCATGTGCCATGCAGGATTGTTTTAGGCATTTCTTTGTTGGGGGGGGGGGGTTCGGGGTAATAGCGTCCACCTTGACTGCAGTGGGTTCATGAAAAACTCAACACTCCCAAGAGAACATATGCGACCCCGTGGCGCCCTTTTCAGGTTTCCCACAAAACCGTACACACAACCCCAAATGGATCCGGCTTTGGATTGCCGTCCAGAGGTGCGATTTTGTCGCCTTGTCTCGAAAGTTTGGAGAGCATCTTTCAAGTCCAGTCCCGGAAAAAGGTGCTCTTTCTCCCCCGACTGGTCCAGGAAAGAGTAATCACCAAAGGATAGTCTCAAACTCGAGGAAGCGCAGTGAGACGAACAGACGGGTGTAGCTCAAAATTGAACTGGGGTTATGCAGGTCTTAGTCGTTCTTTCCATGTGCCAAGGTGCAGTTTTGGTACATTCGTTTGGCACACAGCCAAGTGTCTAGATGAACACGCAGAGCGACTCAAAGTGCTGCCGCTTCCGCTAACCTTTTACAACCAACAATGGGTGTAAACAGCCAGGGCCCAGCTCTCACCTCCATACGGGTGGGTCGTTCTTGTAGGCCCTGAAAATTGTCGGGTTCCTTTTGGCTTCCCTTGAAAACCGCCAAAACAACTGGGTACCCCCAAAACAAGACAGGCCCATGTGAACTAGCAACGTATTGGTGGACTATTGGTTTGGGGAGGGGGAGGCCCACCCACATGCTGGAGGTGAAAAAAGGCGCTGAGCTCGAACCATCCCAAACCAAAGTTTTTTTGCTGAGCACCGTTTTTGACACCAAAATCGACACTGTAAAAAATGGGGTAGTTCTCATCAAGCCCAAATCGCAGGGCTGCCAAAGCAGCGCGGTACCTTGTTCTGGTTGTTCTTGTTGTTCTTGTGGTTGTTGTTTGTGGTTGTGGTTGTGGCTTTTCTTGTTGGTGGTGTTGGTGGCGGCGACCTTGCAGTCGTTATTGTTCTTGGTGTTCGTGTTGGTGCTGGTGTCGGTGCAGGTGCTGGTGTTGTTATGTGTATTGTTCTTGTTGTTGCTGCTGGTGGTGGTGGCGGCGGTACATTTGCGGTAGCAATTGAATTTCCATGTTTTTACTCAACAGCAACACCAGCCACCAAGCAACACGCCACACACAGCCGACGCCAGCAAACTACAATGAACAACGACAAACAACCATCAACAGCAATAAGGAATAACCGCAACAACAACGACGACCAACCGACCAACCAACCAACCAACCAACCAACCAGCCAGCCAGCCAGCCAACAACCAACCAACCAACAACAACCACAACCAACAACCAACAAACAGCAAGCAACAAGCGACAAGCAACAAACAACACACAACAAACACCAAACAACAAACATCAAACATCAAACAGCAAACAACCACCACCACCAACAACAACAACAGAAACAGAAACAACAAACACAACAAACACAACAAACAACAACAACAAGAAACCACAAACCACAAACCACAAGCCACAAGCAACAAGCAACAAGCAACAAACAACGAGCAACAAACAACAACCGACAAACGACAGACAACATACAACAAACAACCAACAACAAACAACAAAACACAACAAACAACAAACAACACACGACAAACAACAAACACAAAACAACAGACTACAAGCAACAATCAACAAATAACAAACAACAAACAACAAACAACCCACCCAACAAGAAGAAGAAGAACAACAACAACAACAACAACAACAGAAACAGAAACAACAAACACAACAAACAACAACAACAACAACAACAACAACAACAACAACAACAACAACAACAACAACAACAACAACAACAACAACAACAACAACAACAACAACAACAACAACAACAACAACAACAACAACAACAACAACAACAACAACAACAACAACAACAACAACAACAACAACAACAACAACAACAACAACAACAACAACAACAACAACAACAACAACAACAACAACAACAACAGCAACAGCAACAGCAACAGCAACAGCAACAGCAACAGCAACAGCAACAGCAACAGCAACAGCAACAGCAACAGCAACAGCAACAGCCACATCAACAGCAACAACAACAACAACAACAACAACAAAAATCAAAAACAAGAACAAAATCAACAACAACAACAAAAAACAACAACAACAACTAACAAAGGAAAAGAACAAACAACAACAACAACAACAACAACAACAACAACAACAACAACCACAACAACAAACACAACCACAACCACAACCACAACCAGAACAGCCACAACTAGAACAACCACAACAACAACAAACACCAACAACGAAATTCACCAACCTCAGCCACGACCACGACACCAAACACCAACAAAACAAGAGAAAACAACCAACAAGCAACAATCAACAATCAACAATCAACAAACAACAAACAACAAACAACAAAAAGTCAACAACAAACAACACACAACAAACAACAAACAACCAACAAACAACAAACAACAAACAACAAACAACAGACAACAAACAACAACAACAAGCAACAATCAGCAAACAACAAGCAACAAACAACAAACAACAACAATTAAACAACAAACACCACACAGCAAACAACAAACAACCATAAACAACCAACGAACAACAAACAACAAACAACAAACAACAAACAATAACAACAAACAGCAAACAACAAAAAACAACAAACAACAACCAACACACAACCAACAACCAACAACCAACAACCAACAACCAACAACCAACAAACAACAACCAACAACCAACAACCAACAACCGACAGCCAACAACCACAACCACAACAACAACAACAACAACAACAACAGCAGCAGCAGCAGCAGCAGCAACAACAACAACACCACCAACAGCAACAACAGCAGCAACAGCAGCAGCAACAGCAACAGCAACAGCAACAGCAACAGCAACAGCAGCAGCAACAGCAACAGCGGCAACGGCAACGGCAACAGCAACAGCAGCAGCAACAGTGGCAGCAGCAGCAGCAGCAACAGCAGCAGACAACACCAAGAGTGTTGACAACACACGTTTTACAGACAGCACCAACAACAACCACAACACGTATAGTTGTTGCTGCTGCTGTTGATTTTCATGTTTGGTGCCGGTACCCAAGCGAAGTAACAAAGAAGCCTCTCACTCTGGTCCACCATTTGGCACATACCCGAATCTCACTTTGACCGGTTCATTCGTGTTTGGCGATTCGACAAACAGGAGGAGCATACTAATCCGGTTTGATCTCCCTATCAGTGGGGACCAAATGCTTTTCGGAGGAGTAATGCTAAATGGCATCACCCCCCAGATTAATGGGGAGCTCAGGTCGGTGTTCTCTTCCAACCTCATCAGCTTCAACCATGAAATCTACAGGTGCCGCTGCCAGCGTTTGCACAAGCAGCGCAGCAATGAGTGTCCGGCACTTGCCTGGATAGCGATGACTAGTAGCTGGATGCATTTTGGCTGGAGCTTGGGAGCACCCTCACCCGAAGTTAAGCAACTTCTGTCACAAAGTGTCACTAGACCAGGCTAATGGTCATCCATTCCCAAACAGTTGTATCTTTTAGCGTCGCTTAAATATAGCACAAAATCTGGTAGTATTGTTCGGAGTACCCTAGATATCGGGCCAAGATTCGTCAAGAGTGCTTGGCCAGGGGCATGGACACAGTGTGCCGCTTTGTCTTCAAGAGAAGCATCTCCCAAAGCGACGACGGGCCTACGCACGAGGAGGACGAGCGCGACATCCTTTTGCTAGGCCGCCTCTTGGGTAAGGTTCGGGCAGCTGTCGCCATAGAATGCCTTTGTTGGTTTCATTCTTTGACATCTGGGAAGACTAGATAAGGCGAGTCGACCCTAACCCCCACGTCCTCTAGGCAGATGTTAGGATTGAACGCGGCGACAGCACGGACAGCTGATTGGTGTCCAGTCCATTTCCAGTTGCCTTACTTAGTTTGACAAATAAGGACAATTGCAGCAGTGGCACATTGGCAAATCGAATGGTACCTAGTAGAATTGATCAGCCGAGTACAAATCAATTAAAGTACTGGCAAAGCAGAAAGCAATCGGCGCACTGGTGGTGTCGGTTGGAGACTTCCAGGCAGACCTCTTCCGCGAAATGCATGGAGGAGCTTCTAAGACGGCAAACGCATCTTCGTAGAAGGGCTCAACCAGAAGCATTGCAGAAGGGGTCTCCGAGGAGCTTCGAAGGGCTTCTGGCTCTGAGAAGCGCTTGCGAAGGCTTCTGCACCAACTCCCTTTGTTTTACCCTGACAATGACATATATGCAGATTGCATGTTGAAAGCCGAGAAGCATGCAGTGTTTTACCGTCAGGCGGGTAAGGGCGCAGATGCCTGCACCAAGCACTTAGTGGGCTCCATAGCTTTCATATGTTCCATTGCGATCTAGGGAGGGCTTGCTGAGTGCCTGGACCCTGACCCCCAGCAATTTGATTAGTTCAACCGTGAAGCCTTCCCGGAAGATGTGATTGAAGGCTGTCTATCCATTTTTTGCGCAAGTGTGCCAGGGTCCAGCTTACGTGTCGATCGTCGCAGGCTTCCACCGCATTGCGTCCATGATGATTGCCGAGTTCGAGTCTCACAACCGAAAGCTCCTCAGTGACTTGCCGACTCTTGGGGGCTGTTTCTCGCGCGAACCTGGGGCACAGGGCCTGTGTCACATTGCACAAGCACATTCAAGGTAGCCTTGTTTCATTACACGGCCCAAGTGCTGAACAGGTGCAATAAACATCAAAGTTGCTGTGTCGGTTGAACGCTAAGGCAAGCTGCAAGTGGTCGAGTACAACCAGTCCATCAAGGACTCCGTGGTAGAGCAGAACAGTTGAGCAAAACGCGCTGGTTGATTGATAGGGGGCATCCGCCGTAAGACGGGGCGCCATTACTTTTGCTGGGAACTCTCCAATGGATTTAGCCGGCGTATCCAGGGGCGAAAAATCGCCCCAGCATAGAGGCGCCAAGTGGCTGCCGTTTAAAACTTTTGAACACATGGCACCACGTGCAAAGTTCATATAGATGTGTCTCCAAATGTTGAGTTGTGGTCCTCCAAAGCATGGGAGGGTTTTTGTTGGTCACACGCGTGTTTGTCTTGGTCACCTTGGTCCTGTCGTTTCATCACATTGAACATACCCGTTCTGAGTCATAGGATGCCATTGGTCCAAGGAGCCGCTGCTGCGGCGGGGCATCAAGTTCAGCTACGGGGACTTCTCCTCAGCGGATGTCTTGGAGCACTGCCGCCCTGCCAAAAGCGAATATCGAGCCCAGGGGTTCGGACTCGCACCTTTCTAAAACCCCGAACAATGAATGACTCTCAGATTACGTTGCTTCGAGCAACCCCCACCCAAGGAATTAGCTTGGCTAAACTAGACTGCAAACACACAGGCTCCAAAAAGTCAATCTGACACTGTGCGGAAGTCAGCTGATCAGGGTGCCAGCACCAAAAAAGTCTAAGCGCTTAATCTACCTTCAGCCATGCCAGAGGCACAATTGCGTGCTCCTGGCGCCTGGACCTTTGTCAAACAAACAGCCAAGCCGCCACATCTTTGAGCACCGGCCAGACGCTGCAGCCAAGCTAACAAGCAAAACGAAAGCTCCAGAAGCCGGCGTGCTCACAAACTGCGCGCTTCAAAATGTCCCTTCAGCAGCTTGACCATTGAAGTAATCTGTCTGGCTCATTGCTCTCTCTCCATGCCTCAGTCTTCGGACTGCTGTGCTGGCCCGGCCAGCTCAAGCTCTGGCCTGGCACCCGGCAACTGACAGCCTGCCCCAAATAACCTTCCTAGCCTGCCCAGCCTTTGCACGGTCCACAAGCTGTCACCGCTGTCGCCCCCTCTGTTTGTCAGGCTTTGTCGCATCTGTCCTCAGGCTTTGCGCACCTGTGTCACAAGATCTGTCGCTGCTGTGTCACATCTGTTTGTCAGGCGCTGTCGCAGCTACTTGCAACCTGGCAACCCCGTAGGGTGGGAATCAGGATAAGGCCGCGGATTGGACCGAAAGGAGATATGGAGTGAAAGAGGACGTCCGAATCACTTTTGCAAGCTCAAAGGGGTATTGTATTGCACAGTATTTGGCTCTAGATGCACACGCTGCAATGTACATTTCCGGCCTGTAGCTTGGAGTCAGGGGCGCTACCTCAGGGGCACGACCTTGGACAGGCATTACGAACCGCTCCTCGCAAACGCATTCAGGTTTCCATGGCGAGCCAAAGATTGTCATTTCGACGACGCCGGACACCATGCTGCAGGGCACCACCAATATGCGAATCCTGAAGGCCCGGATTTGAGCAAACACGCCTCAGTTTTGTGGGCAGCAGAGAAGGAAGTTAAGCATAGGCGCCAGTTGCACTGCGCAGCTCATGTTTCGCGGGCCCCTGCAGGTGGCTTTGAAAGTTTGGCCCCGTGCGCATATCATCGTCACCGCGGACAATCCGGAACAAGCTGCGCAGCTCTACGAGGCTTGGGCGAGCCACAGGGCGCGCAACGAGGGGCAAGGGACTCAGGGAACCTTACTGAGCACTGGTGCATGTGCGATGCCGTTGGTGTTTGTTTGTTTGCACAGTCTATCTCGAAACGACCATGGGAGTGTGAGCATGAGTGTGAGGGGCAATACAGGTGGAAAGCATAGTGTGACCCGAGGCCATGTGCAAGCTGTTGAGGGACAACTGGTCACTGCCATGGCGGGCAGCCGTGCATGTGCTTTTCTTAATCATCTCAATGTCCATTGCAAATTGAAGAAAGGTTGGCACTTTAGGGAAACCTGGGGAATGGCTTTTCACAGTGAGGTTGCAACTCAGCGTTGACAGGGCTTACTGCGAGTATTCGGAGAGATGCAATGGCAGGCGGGTGCGCACTATGTGCTCCGATCCGCAAAGCTTTGCGCCGAGCGTTTGTTTGAGCCACCTGGCGTGAAAGGGTCTGACAGTGCCAGCCATGTGAAGCTCACAAATCCGTATTATGTTATATATCCAGTCCGAATCCAGAGAAGAGCAAGTTCAATGGGATGCAACTGTATCTCCCTGGCTCCATACGGCCTCAAGTGATGTTCACCAAAGGGTTCTTTGTCAAAATGCTGACACTGTTGTAGCCTGTTGAGTCGGTGCGCTGCGGAACTTTCAGCTTTAAAAGTGAGGAGCTGGCAACTCGAGCATGGGTTCCTGGTGCGTCAAGATTCACCCGCCTGCGAGATGTTGCAATGGAAACCCCTCAAGAGGCATACCGGAAGTTTTGCGAGTGTTGAACCTTTCAGTCCCTGAAGCTTCATGCATGCCCCAAAGGACAGGCTGAATGCCGCTGAACCGAAACTTTGCTTCTGGCCATTTGGCTGAGGCTGCTCAACAAGTATCAGACAGATGCAGGAATGTCTGACTTGAAGCGTCGCTTTGACAAGTACAAGAAGAAGGAGACTGACGACCGACGCAGCTACGTTGCTTTGAAGGTCTAGTGGTTCCCAGATTTGCCTGGGTCTCACTCCCTTCAAAAGCCTAGCTGTAGCCATGCCACAGCTTAGACCAAATCCGTGACACAAATGCTTTCTACTATGCCCAGTCTCTTTAATGAAGCTTTAAGCAGCGCGGTCCAATGGTCCAAGGAAGGTTGTGGCAGGCAGAGCTGAAAGCTGGCAAAGGCGCCGGCAAGGTGCCCCCGTGGTGTCCAAAGGACGTCCCACTAATCTTCCAATTGAGTGGCTAAAAAGAAGCCTCCCTGAAAGTTTATCCGGGGCCTGCTGCAGCCATCGAGGAAACAAAGCCAGGCCCTTGCACAGCGAAGGGAGCAACTGGACTGTCCAAAATGGCTGTGGAGCATTCCCCTGGGTACTGTCGCTTGCTGAAACTTGCCTAATGGCTTGTTGCAGCTGTGTCATCCATTTTGTATGTTTCGCAGCGCTTTGCCCAATGTAATATCATTTTGCAAAGTGCTTGGATGACTGAAGGTAGCACGGTTGCCTAGATTGCCGGGACGACGGCTGCAACCATGTGCATGCTGCCTGGATCTATCATATATGGAGGCCCTGAGAATGCTTTTGCGTGAGCTGGCTACATTTGAAAGAATTTGAAGCACAGCTGCCGGTTACATCAAAAGGTCCAGACACGCTGATTACTTTATAACCTTTTCTGGCATCGTGGAGAACCTCGAGACATCACAAAAGTGCCCTCTCGCCAGCTTGCTGGGCCGGTGTGTTCTGGTTGAAAGCTCATGGGACAGATGAAGTGCCTGGTTGTTCAAGCAGGAGCGGGCATCTTGTACGGGAAGCGAACTGGTTGCATACGCCCCTTCCCGCCAATCTTCAACAAAATTAATTTCACTGTAATGATTGATGATGTTTGAGGCGTTCAGTTCGTTCATGCTAAATCCACTTAGCCTTTTGTTGGGTGACGAGCTGGGCTTTAGCGATTGAGTTTAGAGTGGGCTTGGCTTGTTTCTCCGAGATTGCCACTTGCAGAGCTAGCAAAGAAAAGTCATTGCGACCTCTTCCAGCAGGAACTCACACTACGAGCCTTGAGCTGTTTAACCTCACTTCTGCGTTGTCCCATTGAAACATTGCGCCTCCATCTTGATGAGGACTGCACATTGGCACAACTCAGTTTGCTTTCCTCACGCCAGGGGCAGGCAGGGCACGTGCTTGCAGTACTCTTATGGAAGTTGTTGTGTCCTGAAGACATCACCTCCAGGAAATGTGCCTTCATAGGTGTGGGCTCTTGTTGCCCAAACAGGCTCGACACTCATTCAGCAGCGGGTTTCATCAGGTCCGTGAGCGCGGAAGAGCTGCTGGGCGCAACAGACGGAGATGCATCCAAGCTGTGCTCCTGGATTCAGAGGAAGGCCGTTGAGGCGTGAGCCGTGCTGATTGTCCTGATGGCGGCGCTCCGGTGTGACGTTTGATTCCTTTGTTGTCATCCGTAAGCAAATGTTAGCTGGGGGAGGTCCATGGTTTCATGGGGGTTTCATGGGAGTTTTGCTCATGCATGTAGGAATGCTGACAAGTCTTGTATGTACGGTATATATCTCAGGCTTTAATCTGGCCAACAAAAAACTGCGGCATGTCCTGCCTGGCCCAGTGCCTGCTTGGCATCTGCAAGTTTACGTGGCGCCCCTACAGGATGCCATGCACATGCATGAATGTAGATGGAGATGGGCTCACTTCCCCATCGCTGCTTTTGCATGGAGTTGCGCTTTTGCGCATTTGCCCGGACACTTTGGACTTCGGGCAAAATTGCTAACCACCACAGGTGGTTAAAAGAACAACAAGTTTGAACCAGTTTCAACCACGGGTGGCCCAATGGTGCCCTTTGATCGCCGAACTGGGCCTTCGCATGCCAGGCCATGCGCCTCAAAGCTCAGCGGATCGACCAGGACGCGCCGGAGCTGAGCATGGCAGTCTTCCGGCAGGTGAGAAGTTGAGAACCGGGCAGCGTGTCTGGGAGAATTTGTTCAATGGATTCCCCACGCCCATTGACTCAAGGCGCAAAAGATCCGCAAGCTTGGGTGCGATTCCTTGCGATCCTTGCGCTTGCTTGCCAGGTGCTCTTGATGCAGATCGACAATTACTGGCGAAAGCATCTCAGGCTGATGATCTTTCTCAGGAGCTTGTGGGAAGAGGGAAGTGGATGTTTCCCGATAGCACGGAATATCTTGCGATTGATTGGGAAGGCCTTCCAAGACTTCCCTGTGCTTTCAAGGAAGCAAGGTACTTGGAATCCAAGCAGCCTTCACTTTTAGAGAAATCACCTTTTCGGGATTGGGTTCCATGTCAAATTGCAGTGGAGTATCCCTGCAGCAAAATACTAGACGTGACCTTTGGGGGAAGTTGGTTCCCCTCGTGTGTCCGGACAAGCGCCAGCTAGAAGTGGTTTGCACGCAGCATGCGTATGCATGCTTCCCCATGAAAGCGTGGCGGAAGCGATGCAACAGAACAGGACAAGGCAGAATATTTTCCCGACAGAGGTTTTGCCATTGGGTAAACATGAAATAACATGAAGGCGGCAGAAGAGAGGATCCACGAACATGTTTTTGTCCAACACACTTAACATGGAAACTCCATTGATGCTATATCAGCTATATCATGGCTTCATGACTTTGTCCCCCAACCGGCACCCTGTTTTGTGAGCCGCATGCAACTCGCCGGGCTTTTGGGTTTGCCCGTCGCTTGCAGGAATTATGCTTCGCTGCGGAGCTATGGGCAGCGCGATCCTTTGGTGGAGCTTCTCGGCGGAAGTTCTTCATTTGCGCATCTGAAAAGAAGACCCTGTTCTTGTCGACCCCCAACCTTTCTTTTTGACCCCCCCGAACAGGCTCCCCAATCTTAAAAATGAATTTCCTTCGTTGTGGGGTGATGTTTGAAGGAGCCATATAATACGGAATCTCCTTCCCCCACCTACTCCAGGGGCCAGTTTGACTTGTTCCACCTGATTTATGGCAGAGACAGGCCAGAGCTTTGCAGATTCGAGAGTAGGCACTACATGGCGTTGTCAGCTGCTCAATGCGGTCTAACTTGTGATTACTTTCCGGTGGCAAAACAAAGCATGTTGCCAGGAGATTGCATGTTCGTGCACTTCTTTGGACTAGTTATGATGAGCTCGCCGCGGGGTACAATTGGCATGGCTTCCCGTTTCAAAAAGCATGCTTTGATAGCAGGCACACCACGCACCAAGACTCATGAATTGAGTTTCAACTAGCAAAGCCAGTTTGTTTGTCTTCAACAAATTTAAACATATCATTATGTGTTGCTCGCTGCGGCGGCGGCTGGTATAGGGTTGCTGCCGTCAGGAAACGCTGGCTTTTCTGGCAATGTTTGCTGCTCTTGGCTGCTGTTGCCGCCGTGTGTTTGGAAGCAGTTTGCTCGCCCTTACAGCTGATGAGAAGTAACCGGTCCACCAATGATCTCCAAAGCTTCTTGGCAATTTTCAGGGTACCCTGCTGGTCCTGCTGGTGGGTGCAATACTAAAGGAACAGGGGCAGCACTGAGTTTGAGGCTTTCCTCCTTCGGCAGACGGAGGCACTGTTGCCTTTGGCGGCACACGGCATTCCAGGAGCCACTCCGGATATGCCCAGGTACAAGCTTGAAGGCTACAAGGCCTTCCAGGCGCGCCTCACTACATATACTTCCTCAGGTAAGGAATGGCACCTGTTGTGGGAGTGCCGCTGGAAAGAAAGGGTTCTGTTCCAAAAGACCCCTGTCAGGTGCCATGCTTCAGTGATGCTAGTGGAAAGGAGGGCAGATGGCGGGAAATATGCCCCCTGTAAAGTTGACTACTCAAGACATAATACATCATATATAGTACGCCCCCCTCCTGTTGCCCCCGCTTCTCTGCATGTTTGCCACTTGTTCAGGATGCTTTGGTGCCCATGTTTTGAATACCCGGCATGAAGGAATCTGGATCCAAGATCCAAGATTGCTGGGAGACTTTTGAGGGAAATATTGGATTCTTGAATGCCCCTCCCCCCCACCCCCCCAACCCTTAATACCGATATTAAGGTTTCTTAGTACTGTATTGGTTGTCTTAATACCGGGTATGAAGGAATCTGGATCCAAGATCCAAGATTGCTGGGGGACTTTTGAGGGAACTCTTGGATCCATGAATCCCCCCCCCCCCACTGAAAGCTTAATACCGGGTATTAAGGTTCACTGTCAAGCAGTTTCCTGAATACCCGGTATTTGGCAACCCGGATCCAAGTTTCCCTAATACCGGTATTAAGGTTTCTTAGTACTGTCATGTCATGTAGATTTCTCAATACCCGGTATTAAGGGTTCAGAGGGGCATTCATAGATCCAAGATTTCCCTCAAAAGTCCCCCAGCAATGAAGGATCTTGAATAATGGATCCAGATTCCTTAATACCCCTGGCATGAAGGAAACTACATCCTTATTATTAAGATTTATGGGGGCCATGGATCCAGATTCCTTAATACCCCTGGTATGAAGGGTTCAAGGGGGCATTTAAGGATCCAATATGTCCTCAAAAGTCGCATCCAGATTCCTTAATACCGGGTATTAGGAAATCTAAATACAGCACTAAGAAACCTCAATACCGATATTTGGATTGCAGGGAGAGACGTTCAAAGAGAGGATTTCCTCAAACAATTGCAGAAATTATGCATTATGTTTGTTTTGCATCTCTTTGTTACCGAGAGTGCTTGCGGCGCGCTGGCTGTCCTTGCCTCAAAGCGTTTGGTCGTGAGCCAGGCTGTTAGACTGCGGGGACCGGGATGGAGGGGATGTTGGGGGGCTGGGCCCGCAGGTTGCTGGGCCGGGGGCAGATACCCATTGGTGCGGGGGGCTAGCGCACCTGGGACGGGACGCACATAACAAATAAGCAAATAAACATATATCTAATATAGATTGGCCTTGGGCTGAGCAAACACAGAGTTGTAAGTTGCCTGGTGCAATCACGAGGATCCCCTTGGCCATAGAGTGATCTCATTTGCTAGCATGTACATTCCGCAG